GAACCTTGGTGAAGAATTTTCTGCCGACGAAATGTTAGACTTTATTGACGAATCTAAAGACATTCTTGTCTTGCATAGTAACAATTCTACGATGTTATTTGCTGGCAGATTACAACTTGGAATTTTGTGCACATTAGCTTTTTCCTTGCGTACGACGTCGGTCAAGATGACTGGGCAATGGGAAGATGTCCTTTGGAAAATTATTTACCTAGCACCATCTTGTGAGCCCGAAAATGACATCAATTTAAGCGCACTGGAGTCTATCGTCAAGCCCTGGATACTAACAATGTTCGCAGACCCAGAGATGTGCCCTAACCCGTACCTGCGTCTGAGAATGGTTCTTTTAATCAACATTTGGCCAAAGACTTTCTTGCAGGATGCCGCCTCTGGAAGGCAAGCAGCTGCAGGCCTGGTGATCAACGGAAAATATATGGATCTCGATCACCTATATCCAGAGAACAAAAATACAAAATTACTTCATGGACTTGAAGACATGTTATTCAATCTTCATGACTATGGCCACCTTGCTGGTATTGGTAATGCAGCAGTTGGCCAGTTAACAAGAATTAACATTGGACCAGAAGTATTTTTGCTCTACAATCTAATGAAGGTCTTAAAACAAATGGCAGAGGAATCACGAAATTTAATCAGAGAGGATGGATTATATTTGACCGGGCATGCTATCCTTGTGTATTTGACGCTTATGGATTTACGGAAACTCTGGAAGGCTTATAGAGCTCCTGGCCTGGCTAAGGTCGCTGCAGATACCCTAGTTGCCATAACAGTGTCCTTTGTTACACTTGGCTTGACCTTAGAAGATGATGATGGAAGATACAAGCTGTTCGTATACCTCTTAGATGATGCTTACAAAGTCATAGGCGATTTCACCATATTTAGATCACTTTACCGTGTTCTGCGACTTGACCACGCTCAGTATCTATCTTCCCTTGCGAAGAAGGCAGCAGATTCCGGTATTTTCTTCCATCATTTCCCAGTGCCGTACGAGGAATCATCGGAGGAGGTCCCGGAAGAGTTCAGAGACAGCGTGACGCAGGCGGTGATGGAGGCGCCGGTCCTGCTACACTCCTCCAAGATGGTGATCGACAAGTCGACGCTGATTCTCCTCATACTGGAGTCCGGGCTGGACCCCTTCACGCGGTGCCCTCTGGACCGGGGCTCCTATAGTCGTCTTCGCAAACTCCAGGAGGACATCCTCGCGTGGAAGGAAACAACAATGGATGAATATATTCGTTAATGTTTGTGTACGTCGCCTTCTGCAGTTTTATTCAGACGATGAGGTAATGAAGTTCACGGAATTTAAGAGAGGCCTCTGAAATATATTTCTTTTCTATTTTTGAGTTATTAAAGTTTTGTCACTTAAATATGAACGAGTTGTTATATATGAATTTTCTTTTAATAAATGAAAGCGACAATTTATTAACAGCCTATTCTAACCAAATTTTTGTTTAAATTTTATATCCATTGGTTATGAGATGATCTGCTAGAATTATTAATGAAATTTATGAAACAATGAAAATTGGATTCCCCATAACGATTTACTGGCAATTATACCTGCTTGAATCAATAATTACAAATTGTAATCATTGTTATACTGATATGTTAATTAGAACTGGGGATAAATGTGAAGCATATTTTTGCCAGGTTGAAAGCCAAGGATAGGGAAGGGGGCTATCGGGAGAAAGCGCCAAGCCATCATGACTGCGGTCAAGATAATAATTTGGGATGGGCCGGGGGAAAGGAATATTATCCAACTATTATCGTCGGTCGGGTCGAGGATTGAACGCCGACCTACATGAAGCGAGACCGTTGCTCTACCGTCCAGCCCAAGTGGTTGGGAGCCAAGGGAATGTAGACAAACTGTATTGGAGCAGTATAAAAAATTCCTATCTAAACCACATACACGATGAGACTACGACGTTCCGTCGTTATTCTTCAGCTTATCTTGCTCTGGTTAAGGCTTAGAACATAAGAACAAGGTAACTGCAGAAGGCAGCTCCTATCTATAACCAACCTTAGATTTATTAGATTCATTTAGATTAGGCAGTTCAGTTTTGGTGACCATGCTATAGACTCACTAGATCGCCTCCAACGTAGCCCTCAAACCTGTCATATGGACGAAAGATTGACAAAGCTTAAGTGGGTTGCGTGGACATATGAGTGGGATTGGGTGGTTATAAATAGGGGCTGACTAGTATGGGCCAATAGGCCTTCTGCAGGTACCTTTATTCTTATGTTCTTATTATGAAAAACAGAGGTCCCAGGACAGAACCTTTTCCCACTCCGACTTAACCCCCATTTAACTCCCCCCCCCCCAAAGGAAACTGTTTCCATACCAAATATAGCCATAATGGGTATAAATTGGACAAGTTTAGATTTAGGAAATACTTGGGTAAATACTGGTTCGGTAACAGGGAGGTTGATTTGTGGAACCAATTACCTCAATTGTTTCAAGCGTGGGTTGGACATGCATGAATGATTTGGGTGGTATAAATAGGAGTTGCCTCGTAAGGGCCAATAAGCCTTCTGCAGTTACCTTTGTTACCTATGTACCCTAATCCAGCTTAATATAGCACCCCCAATACCATGAGCCTCTTATCTTTTTAATCAGTCTTTCATATGGCACTGTATCAAAAGCTTTGTAAAAATATCAAGGTACACAACATCACGAACCTTACCACAATCAACTGCCTCAACTATGCTGGAATAGTTGAGCATATGACCAACTAATCACGACACAGGTATTGGCTATTCCTGATTTTGAGAAAGAGTGAGAGGTGCACACTGACGCACAGCGGTATACCTATTGCATATTGTATAAGGGTATACCTTATTGCAATTAAGGTATACCCTTAATTCAGCGAGATGCGGATAATTTACCCCATCCGGTAGCCTATTTCAGCGAGATGCGTATAATTTACCCCATCCGGTAGCCTATTTCAGCGAGATGCGTATAATTTACCCCATCCGGTAGCCTATTTCAGCGAGATGCGTATAATTTACTCCATCCGGTAGCCTATTTCAGTAGAAAGGTCAAAGGACCTAAAAGGAGCTGGAATAAAATGATGGCAAATTTGTTAAACATGAACGGCCATTTGTAAAACTTGTTGTGAATCATGGGAGACAGGTCAGATAACTGATAATGACGAAGAGATGAGTTTAATAACTATTTTATCTATATTTACTAAAGCGGAACTTAAATTAACATCATGCTTTCAGCCGAACAAGTCTAGTAAATACTTGGGTGGGGGAGAGGACAGGTTGACTAGTTTAGCAGTTACTAGGATGTTATTAAACATTAAATGAGTATCAATTGGCCAAGTTTAAATTTAGAAAAGATCTGGGTAAATACAGGTTCGGTAAAGAGACATCTATTTATATCCACCCAATCTCATTTATATATATCTAACCTATAAATATATCTCTTGATTGCTTGAAACAATCAAGGGATCCTATTTCTATTATGGTACGCGGTAAATGGTTCCAGAAATCAACAACCCAGTTACAGAACCAGTATTTACCCAAGTCTTTCCTAAATCTAAACTTGCCTAATTAATACACAAACGTAAACATTTTTTACGTTTTATACCCATTGTTTACCTATAGACAAATAGGTTAAAGTCAATGCTGCAAACAGTCTTACAGAAAGGTAGTGAAATAAGTAGAGACCACTAGTTAAACAATGACATTTTCTCATTTCACTGATATTAACCCAAACAATGCCATTTAACTCATCACCCATACGTCACTGGCAATCAAACTATCATTGATTACCAACTGTAGTGACGTCAATGCTTATCGATTACTAGCTTCCTGACCAATGAATGGCATCTTATAAAATGTCATTGGATGATCGATTGTTACGTCATAGCTCATCGAAACGCCAGAGGTCGGGCCAAAAGTGACGGCTCTAAACAAATCCACAAGGGCCGTGATGAGGGTTCGAACTACGTCCGGAATAATCCCAGACGCGAAGAAGTGCAACCGGGAATGCTACTGCCCTCACAAGGATCCCGCATGGGGGAATTGTGTAAATTGGCATTCCGCGAGCGCTTTGTCATGGGTTCGTATCCTGGCCGGATTTACTGGGCGTAAATCCTTAACTGTAGCCTCTGTTTAACTCAACAGTAAAATGTGTACTTGGTTGTAACAATGATTCTTCGCGGCGGGGATCGTATTCCAGGGACCTGCCCGAAACGCTACGCGTACTAGTGGCTCTACAAGAATGTAACAACTCTTGTATATATCTCAAAAAAAAAAAAATGCGGAACCCTTTATTGAATTTGCGTCTATCGTCACTTTTGGCTCAAGCAAGCGCCAGGTTTTGCACTGTTGATATCATCATTCAAATCTAACAATCTAACCTAACCTAGTATTAAGCAGTAACAGGAAAAAGCACGAACTTTAATAGTCAATTTAGGTGTCATGTTGTAGGTGATCAGAGACTGGGCGCTAGGATAACCTATTATTAAGCGCAAACACTTATCTATATTATATATAATTTTCCTTCTCTAACTTTGACTATATAGTAGATGCTGGCTGAAAACAGGTCCTGAACCGGTTACATTAGACAGGCGGGGCCCAAGAACTGGATACTGCAGACACATAGTAAATACATGCTCAAAGGCAGCCCATCATACTGTTTTGAGAGTACTTATAGGAAGGATGAGCACCATGGTACATATACTGACGAACAAAATTAGAAATCGGTACTATTGAATTTGAACAAACCGGAAAACTGTTAACCAAACCACACACTAGAAAGTGAAGGGACGACGACGTTTCGGTCCGTCCTGGACCATTCTCACAATCTACTTGAGAATGGTCCAGGACGGACCGAAACATCGTCGTCCCTTCACTTTCTAGCGTGGTTTGTTCATCAAAATACTTGTATGTAAAACGATTAACCGTTTTCCCGCCCCTGGTTAGGCCTTCAACACTAAACAAAAGAGTAAATCATTCCGTGTCTTCGGCACACTTACCCTTCACTGGGGGAAGGCAGAGTCGAATGTCCTGTGAAGCCTCTGCTGCCGTTGAGGCTGGAGCCCTCAGAGGTCCCTGAGCCCCCAGACATTAGGGACTCCCTGGACCCAGGAGAGTCCCCCCTGCGGCCCACTCGGCGCTCAACCATAGCGCTCAAGCGGTGCTCACTCGTGGGTTATCAGCAAAGTTCTACTAGCGAGTTGTTGTGGTGGGTCTACTGACCATTGTTTATACGACTTGTCCGGGGATGCCTGTATGGCGTTCACTTTAACAACCTATCAAACTCAGTTCATGTTTGTAGGCCTACAACTCATACAAAATCTTTGAAAAGTATTTGTTCGTCAAATATTTCTTATAATTATGGTGTGAATAATATACACAGACACACTAATCTGCTATACAAGTAAAAGAATAATTAGCCGTAGCCACTGGCAATATGTAAACATTTCAAAATATATCTACAAAACAAAATGGCCACGGAAAGTGATTCACGCTATTTCTTTAAGACTTATTCACAGTTACAGGAGAACTTACATCTCCTGAAACTACTGTCCGAGTATTTATTTATACATTTATATTCATATTATAAATTTATATACATTTATTTTTACAATAGCTATCTATATAGAGACCAAGTATGCTGCAGCATAGGCTACCGCTCGCCTCTATTAGGGAATAGAGTCCCCTCTATTAATGATCTATTGGGGAAGTATTTACCGGTGAAGGATAATTTGTATACCGTCTCTTCCTCGCGTTTCTCTCGACATTAACTACTAGACTAACCCTTCTCCTGGCCCCGGTTCGAACCGCGTTTTACTTCAATATATATACTAATTATTTGTATACTTGTATATACACAATTTGGATCGTTGGGAGGATTTAAATTTGGGCTTGAATCATACAAGACCGTTGTTCTAACACATATGGCCCCAAAGTTACGGAGGATTAATTTATTAATCCTCCAAAATGGATTTCGCTTCCATTAATCCTATATATTTGTCTTACATTACATGTCTTTTGCAACATTCGTACGTTTCATTCCGAATTTACTTGACAAGTAGCCTATGTTTTCAGCCTAGTCTCAAACTTTAAAGTGTAGCTTGACTTAGCTTTTTATAATGCAAACTATTTATTCAGTAACGTTGATATTAATATTGAAGGGAGGACTACAGTATACATTTAATTACCAAGATTTTTGGGAAATGAGATGGTTTCACATTATGAAGCAAAATTAGTTAAAAATCACAAGAACGATGTTTCCGATTTGGTGTTTTTATTATTTAATTTGATATAGCTTAGAGCGGCTAGCTACACAAGAACCATCCATTTGAATTCCACTTTGTAACTTATGGTATCTATGGCAACATATCCCAATATGTTCACTGAAATATATTCTCATCTCCCTAATATTCACCATGTGTGAAAATCAATATTTTTTTTGCTAATAAGACTGGAATCTGAATTAACGAAGTTATCATTCGGCGGGCGTTGCTTTTTCCAAAGTATATATGTAACTGATATCACACTACGTAGACCTAATTACCGTACCTAACTTAAAAACTAGTATTACATAAACATCAGCATATCCTTATGGTAACTGCGACATAAATCATGCACTGGTGGGCGGAATAGGCTGATGACACGTGCCAAAGGGAGCTCCACCTGACGCATGCTCCCAACCTTTCCACTACTGCCATTCATAACAATGTTCTATTTTTCAACACTATATCACTGGCCGTATATAGCAACCCGCGGGCCAAGATTCATCTCACATACTAAACGCGCCGACGGAGAACCACGAGGAATTAAACACACGAGAAGAATTAAAACACTGGACGGTACAAGTTAGGGAAAAGGGTCCACCAGCGGAAGCACCTCGTCGTAGCCACTGTCAGGTCCTGACTGAAAGTTCTCGTTCAACTTGTACACTTCATAACTAACTATTAAACCTTCACCTGCCGGAGGTGCGACAACTCCTCACAAAACAAGCTTCACTTCACTCAATTTAACTCTTATCATCATATACCGATCGTATTAACATGATCGTGATAGTCATACTAACTACGACGCCTCAATTATCGTATTTAAACAAGCATTAATCTAATAATAAAAATATGTAGTGCAACGTTAACTATGCGCTACAGTAAATACCACAGTGTTTGTTGACTAGGCTACATGGAACATCACATATATCAGTACAAACCTGTAAATCATCCGTGCCCTGTATAATACATCCCAATCCTGCTCTCAGCGACGCGAATCAGATAATACATGAACTAGGGATCTTCCCTAACAAGCAACATAAAAGTTTTAGTAGAAAAATATGAGAATTAAAGTAATTCAAGGGAATCGGACGAGTTAATGTATATTTTACATTACAATCAATACCGAGCACAAGTGCGCCTGCGCGGTGGGGTGCCTTGCTGGAGGGGGGAGGGGTTAATGCTGTGGAACCACGGCCAGTATATATGCTCCAGACACTTATACTCCAGCTGCTGTGGAACCACGGCCAGTATATATGCTCCAGACACTTATACTCCAGCTGCTGGGGAACCATGGCCAGTATATATGCTCCAGACACTTATACTCCAGCTGCTGGAGAACCACGGCCAGTATATATGCTCCAGACACCTATACTATATACTATATATATAATATATATATATAGTATATATATATACTATATATATATAAAATTAATATTATTATATATTAGAATTTTGAGTTTAGTAAGGCATATGTTAGGTTAGATGTCAGGTCCTCTTGGCAATGTTTTGTATTTGCAGTATGTGGGCAACCCATCCTCAGGCTATTTTCATTCCATCCAGTGGCCGACCTCAAAGATGCATTCATCAACTTTACAGCCAGTCCTCAAGATGAAGTTCGACACTAAACCTACTCTCATACCACCTGGATAGTTATCACGATTTTGGTGATTTAAAAAACAAATTAGTACAGTGGTTCTCAAATTAGTCTACTGGCCAAAAGACTATTAATAGAACCTTAAAAAAGTTTAGGTAAGTATCCAGATAGTTTAAAAAGGGAGGCTGGACACTCATTATAATCGCCAGACCCCGTTCATAAATCCATTATAGTAGTAAAATTCACTAAATGTACTTCAGTTCTTTAATGAACTAACCAGAGGCTAGGCTGCAGTCTGGAAGTACATTATAACACTAACTAAACTTAACGCATTTTGGAACCATTACGGTAAGGCAAAAATAGGCTTGGCAGTAGTGATTACCAGGAACATACCCCTGAGATATGTATTCTGTTTTTTTATCAATATCTAAAACCTTTACCTATATTCTTCATCCATTTTATCCGGGCTATGGCGACCATAGACTGGAAAGTTTCCCACTTTCCCCTGAAAGTGGGAAACACGGGAATGATAATTTAAAATATTAGTTATATAATCTTTGTTTATCCCCTTCGGTCCGGCCGTGACTATTTACTTCTTCCTGCATGACTTAAGTGCAACAAACTGATACTTATAACATCTTGTTGCATGACCAAGTGCAACAAGATGTCATAAGTATCTCCAAGTTAGCGTCACTTGTGTCCGAGATGGCCAAAAAAATAGATGCAATAATGTCCGCCACTTGTGTTTACACTGTTAATTTACATGACACATGTAAAATATGGAGGAAAGATAATGAAACTTAATAAAGGGTCAGATGATGTAAAGTAGAAGAATGTATCATTGGGTTCATTCCCTCGTGAGCGTTTTTTTCGTAGCTAAGCTGCCTGGCGGACCAGTCTGGGTCATCAAGCTCTGGGCCAGTCTCATTATCTTGCAAGAACTCTTGCTATTAGTCTTACAATAGAATACATATCACATGAACACATATCTGAATTGTAAATTTAGGTCAAGGTGTAGGCATGAGTGTCCTGGGACGCCCATACAGCCATAATGTTATATAATAACGAACTTTTTTTTCATCTTGAAGAGCATCAACTTTCGCAAATTATGTAAAATATAAATAAAGACCAAGTTTTGTCCATGATAAGTAATTATCAGGAGAAAGTGCTAAGCCATCACGACTATATAGCACTTGAGAGAGATATGAGGATAAGGATTTAAGGACAGGACGTAGAGAGGGAATGGTGCCCAATCACCGAGATGGTCAGGGATTGAACGCCGACTTGCAATAAGTGAGACCGTCGCTCTACTGCCCAGTTCAAGTGGCATGACAGTTCTAAAGCAGTTTATATAACAGTAATAAAGGATAAGAATTCTGTGCAATTAATACGAGATTGCCTAGCAGTTATCTGGAAAATATATCTGCAAATGAGTTATACGCACAGCTAGGAAATATCATGTCATGCTTACCTCTCTTGACGAAAGATGATTCGACTAGATGTCCTGGAATCATTCAGAGAGTCCAAAGACCTCCGTCTGATGAAGAGTTGGTCTTTGTCCTCCATGATGTCAGCTCCCGGTGAGGGAGAGCTCCAGGCTTCAAAAATGGCTATCTGCTTCACCGCGTTCTTGTGCTCCCCAGCAGCTGCTGTTTTCACGTGACTATCAACGTGACTTATAACCTGCAGCTCCTGTTGGTTTCTCCTGCCATTGCTAATCTCTTTCACAGGACTACGCTGCCGCTTGTCCAGGGCTTTCCTCGCCTTGGCTAGAAGCTTGTCGATCCTACGAGTTATATTGCCATCGTGTGCGAGGACCAGGGGAAGGACGTCGCGTTTGTTCTGAACAGCGTCACTCATTTTGAAGTTGCCTTTTTTGTCCTGCGTCACCTTTTTGGTCAAAAGGTCTTTTTGCCTTGTATCCTGTTTCTGTACGCTAGTTTCTCGTCTACTGTCTTGTTGATTTTCACTTTTAAAGTCCTTACATCTATTATTATCCTTGGAGTTAAATTTTCTACTTCTCTTACCGTCTTTCTTATTTTCAATATTAGAGGAACGTTTCCCTTCAACTTTTTCAGTGCTAATAAATTTGCCATCACATAAGCTGCTCCTTGTGACCTGTTCATCAGATTGCATGACCCTCGACATCTTCGGCCTGCGCTCTAAGTTCCCCGAGGACCGTCTGCACGAGGCTTGCCTGCTGGGGTCCAGGTTCTCCTGAACTGTCACAGAAGACCTGTTCAATGTTCTGTCCATCACTACCTCACAGTACTCCACGCCGAAGGCTGCAACGTGTTCACTGTTTTGATGCAAAATAAAGCTAAATATAACTAATTATCATATGATAACGAAAGTTATCCTCATAAATATTAACAAAATGCAAAGGCCATCACAAAAATTTAATGGCTAAGGAATTAACATGAAATCTTTCGTGTCAGACTTGCATGGTTCACATTTCTTACACTTGTAAAGAGTGGAAAAGTTTGTTGTGCTACAGCTGGCTGAAGAGAGTGAGTGAACAGTCTCTCACATACAGGAGTATACCGGGGTGCGCGGATGCATTCCCTGGAGCGGTAACCCACAAACTAATAGATTATATCTGGATGGCCTAGTATAGGGGGCGAAGTGAGGCAATATGCGGGAGATTGGTAATAGCCTCACCTGATACCACTGCAGTTGGCCTCACTAGAAACTACTACAGTTAGACCTAACTAGACACCACTACAGTTAGACCTAACTAGACACCACTACAGTTAGACCTAACTAGACACCACTACAGTTGGTCTCACCTGACACCTTGATATCCCGCTTCACCTAGCGATAATATATTGTTAATGACGAATAGAGTACACATGTCAGAATTTACGTACTGGCAATTGTTATCCATAAATTGCCTGCAACTCACACCCTACTGCATGCTAGTGAACGATGTTACACTGATAATACCACTTCAATCAAAATATTGGAATCCCCTAACAATGCTACAAGGATAAAATTTAATATATCTATTTACCAATGCATATGCATGACTGCTAAAATACAGCTATAGGCTATGCCATATGCTATAGCAAAACACTGGGAATCTGTATTTGTAAACTATGAACAGGGATAAGTAGTCTTAATTCTAGCCTAGTATTCATACTAGGCTGAATTTCCTGGAAATTTCCGGCACGAAAAATGGAACCTGATTTCTGCAGTCTTGATCTAATTATTCTATACGCAAACTTTGAATTGAAGGTTCTTTACCAAGATGTAAATGTGCCTACTCAC